AAAAAAAAAAAAAAAGCTGGGTGTGGTAGTACTTGCCAGTACTTGCCTGTACTTCCAGCTGTCTGGGAGGCTGAGGCAGGAATATTTCTTGAGCCCAGGAGTGAGTTCAAGGCCAGCCTTGACAATGTAGTGAGAACCTGTCTCAAAAAATAATAATAATAAAAAATGATGAGATACTCATTTACTCCATATCCTTCAGGATGGCAGGGATTAAAGGTGTTAATGAAAAAGTGGGCACAAGGGGAATTCTAATACATATCTTAGGTGAGTATAAATTGGTTTACTCACTTTGGAGTAGTGAAGCTGAAGAAGGGTGTACTGTCCAACTTACCAATTCCTTTGCTAGTGATGCATACCTGAAAATTTTAGCAAAACCTAGGAAGCACAGTTTACCATTAAACATTTTTTTAGTCGGGCATGGTGTCACATTCCTGTATTCTCAACTAACTAAAAGGCTGAAACTAGAGGATTGCAAGAAACCAGCCTGGCCAGGTGCCATGGTTCATGCCTGTAATTCCAGTGGCTCGAGAGGCTGAGGCAGGAGGATCTACAGTTTAAAGCCAGCCTCAGCAAAAGCTAGGCACTGAGCAACTCAATGAGACCCTGTCATTAAATAAAAAGTACAAAATAAGGTGGGCTGGGGATATAGCCCAGTTGGTAGCGTGCTTGCCTCACTTGCATGAGGCTCTGGTTTCAATCCCCAGCACCACTCACATACAAAAAAATTAAAAATAGGGCTGGGGTGTGGCTTAGTAGTTGGGTGCCCTTGAGCTAAATTCCCAGTACCAAAAAAAATAATAATAAGAAGAAGCCAGCCTGGGCACCTTGGTGAGACCTTGTCTCAAATTTTTAAAAAAAGATGCGAGGAGCACTGTGGATGTAGCTCAGGCCTAGCATGTGTAAGCATGTGTAAAGTCCTGAGTTCCATCTCCAATACTGGGGGGGGGAGGGGATTTTTTAATGAAGCATTTTAAATGTTCATCCACAGAACAATGGGTGATTAAATTGGGGTGGTTGAGTTGTTTTTATTCATAACAGTATCATAAAAAGTTAAAATGAATGAACTAAAGCAACATGGAAAAATCTCAAGGGAAACAAAGGCAAGACAAATAATCTGGTACCATTTATACAAGATTTAAAATAAGACTGACTTTTTTTTGGTACTGGGGATTGAACCCAGAGGAATTTTACTACTGAGCCACATCCCCAGTCCTTTTTAGTTTTTATTTTGAGACAAGGTCTCTCGAAGTTGCTTAGGACCTTGCTAAATTGCTGAGGCAGGCCTGGAACTTGTAATCCTCCTGCCTCAGCCTCTGTAGCCACTGGGATTACAGCGTGTGCCACCAAGTCCAACTTCTGTACAACATTTAACATGAATATATATAAACATTTATGGATAAAAACATTTGTAGTAAAAATATAGTTATTCAGGGGAATGAGGAACATCAGTGACTATTTCTAAAATAGAAGGGTAGAATGTCTGATTTCTAAAAAAAGAAAAAAGTATATAAGTACATGAGCACACACACATGGCTGGAGAGATAGCTCAATGCTAGAGCATTTGCTTAGCATTCACAAAGCCCTAGGTTTGATCTTCAACACTGCAATATAAATACAAAAAGTACTGAAAATTATGGCAAATGTGGCAAGTATTTAGATAAAATAAATCTTGATGGATACCTGGGTACTTGTTTTATCCTCTATAATATATATAATTATAAATATTTTGCAGTAAATTCCTCCAAATGTATATAATTCTAATCCTCTATAATGTGTATAATTGTAAATATGAAGTAAATCACACCAAAAATTCTGTTAAATGCCTCTATAATGTATAGAATGCTACTCCTCGATAATATATGTAATTCTAAATGTTGAAGTAAATTCTAAATTCTAAGTATGCTGAACTAAATTACACTATAAATGCAAAAATAATGATAAAACTATAGCCAACAAGTGAGGGAGTGGAGACAATGAATGGGAATTAAAATCAGGGCCTCATGAATGCTAGGTAAGTGCTCTACCACTAAACTGCATCTCCAGTCCTGTTTTGTTTTTGAGGGTATCTGTTCCTTTAGACTATCACCCTTGGCTTTTAGGATTCTAAGCCTCTGTGACACATATAGCTCCAGCTTTTTATTTATTATTTATTTACTTATTTTTTAGTTGTAGGTGGACACAATGCCTTTATTTTTATTTATTTTTATGTGGTGCTGAGCATCAAACCCAGTGCCTCACCCATGCTAGGCGAGCGCTCCACCACTGAGCCACAACCCTAGCCCTCCAGCCTTTTTCTTTCTTTTTTTTTTTAATATTTATTTTTTAGTTTTCAGCGGACACAACATCTTTGTTTGTATGTGGTGCTAAGGATTGAACCCGGCTGCACAAATGCCAGGCAAGCACGCTACTGCTTGAGCCACATCCCCAGCCCAGCCTTTTTCTTTAAATTACTTAGAATCCCTTTCCTTTTTTTTTTTTTTTTAATAATTTTTTTAGTTGTAGTTGGACACAATATCTTTATTTTTATGTGGTACTGAGGATCGAACCCAGCGCCTCACTAGGCGAGTACTCTACCGCTGAGCCCCAGCCCCAGCCCCTAGAATCCCTTTCCTGTTACCTACCCACATTTGGTTGATGGGATTAGGTACTTAGAAGACTTAGGTGTTATCCTAAGTCTCATTTACCCTTAAATGATAATAATAGTTGTGTTCTTTGCTCATTAATAAACAACTATATATTAAGTGTTTACTGTGTGCCCATCAACTAAACACCAGAAGTACACTGGTGAAGACACCTGCTTTATCAATGATTCCCAACTTTCTGTTTTAGAATTGCCTAAGAAAGTCTTTAAAAATTAAACATTAACTGTGCCTCATTCTGGGAAACACTAATTAGGTTCAGAGTTAATGCATCAGGCTGGGGTAGCTGTTTCCTTAACATCCCCTTATTAAATGATTCCAGTATTCAGAGGGATAGAGATTCTTTATTCCCATTGTTTGTTCTGTGGGCATAGGAATTGTGTTTTTCTTGTTCCCTACCATATTCCTGGAGCCTGGCACATAATAGGTGCTTGATAAGTACTTGTTGAATGAATTAGTGAAAAAAAAAAAAAAGACATTGCCACTGTCCTTTAAAACTAATAGTCTATCAGGGAAGACAAACCTTTTATTGTAAATATTAAATACAGTATGTCATAATATTGGCTGCCTAGTGTATAGTGGATACTTGGTCACTGTTAATACATAATCTTTATGTATTAATTCCTAAAGTCCAATATCTAGCCTTAATCACTGACTTGTCTTCTAGTTTTGGAGAAAATAATAGAATCTCTATAATCACAACTTTTAGTTACTTACAAAACCCTTAATGAATGTTCCATTATCATCCTAAATTTTGCATTTCTAAACCTGAAAGCTGCTTCTTTTGCTTGTCTCTTCTTCTTTATTCTAGGTGTCTTTTCCAACCATCTATTTTTTGTTGTTGACAACATAGCTCTTCCTTTTGCCCAAACTAGAAGTTATACAATATATTTTGAAGTATTTTTATTTCTTCTGAGTCATGCTTTATGCTCAATGCTTGATGCTGAATCCCTATGAACTCCATTAGGCAATATGGTGCAGTGGTTAAGAACACAGACTAGTAGTGGGATGTCGTGCTTATGCTTGTAATCCCAGGAGGCTGAGGCAGAAGGATTGCAAGTTCAAGACCAGCCTCCAAAATTTAGCAAGGCCCTAAGCAACTTAGTGAAATCCTGTCTCAAAATAAAAAGGGCTGATGATGTGGCACTTCAGGGTTCAATCCCAAGCACCTGAATGAATGAAGAGAGAGAGAAAAAAATGAATACAGATTAGTATCAGACTGTGGGAAGTTAGGTTCCACCTCTGTTACTTGCAGGCTCAGTGACAGGAGGACTAATTTGTCTGTATCCTCATCTGTAAACAACCATAGAGTTGTAAGAATTAGTAGTCTTCAGGTGAATAATGACTGTATATAAATGCATTATAAGAGTCAACTTATTACTGCTAAATATTTTGTCTCTTCAGTTAAATTGTAACTCCATGAAGACAAATATGCTATATATTTCTTTAGTATCCCTTCCTGAGTACTATTGCAGTAGAAGGCATAAAAAAGACTTGAAATAACCCATCAAATTTGAAAATACAGTAGTTATTTTGCCTTGTGTTTAATAGTAAAACATCCATTTTTCCTTAAAGCCTAAGAAATAATTTTAGGACTTCCTTAGAATCTAATTCTTGCTATCTGAAAACAAAGATTAACATAAACATGAAATTATAGTGAGGCAAATGAATGTATTCTTAATGAAACTGCCTTATTATGGGAATGACTTTCAAAGTTGCATATATGCTGGGTCAGTGTTTCTCAAAATTGACTAAGCATAACAACCACTTGGGGTGTTTGTAAAAATGTAGATTCCCAGTGCTTAATCCAGACTTCCTGAATCAGTTTCTAAGAGAGAGGACTGAGAATCTGGTTTTTTCCTTATCTTTTTTTCTTCTTTTCAAAACTTTGACTGATTCTAACAAAGATAGTATGAGATAATGCTAGACTAGATGATGTAATTTCTTTTGAAGATTTCAACTGGATTTCTGTAGGCAAAATATTTTAATCCAGCCATTCATATTTCTTTGCCTTATTTCTAAAATACTTCAGGCCTGAGGACTTGCGCCGTGAGTTTGGTCGATATGGCCCTATAGTAGACGTTTACATTCCACTTGACTTCTACACTCGCCGCCCAAGAGGATTTGCTTATGTTCAATATCCTTTATTTTAATATGTGCATGTGAATATATTGCATTCATGTGCTTATACATATATGTATTCAGGAGTCTGTGTTACGATGTTAACATTGCCTAATTAAATGTGTTTATTTCTTTATCTCAGAAAATCTAAAGCAGTCCACAGTAGCTGGCAAGCGCCCCCCAGTTTGAACCAACCTGTTAGCTAGAATCCAAGCATAAACCGAGCAGGCGAGACAAAAGGCACCTAAAGTTCAAGCATCAAGGAGTAAAGAGGGAGGGTGGACACAGATATAAAGACCTGGAAGAGGGGAAGTCTTTATCAAGCAAAAGACAAAGCCAACTTTGAGACTTCGGCTTTCCTACATTTACTCAGAGTTCCAGAGTCAAAGCCAAGTCTGATTTTGTTGGTTCTGCGTCTCTTATAAAGTCCATCTTGCAAGTCTTAAAGAGTAAAGGTCAAGGTTCAAGATCAAGTGACTTTGAGGTAATTGCCAGTCTCATTTTATATTGTATTTCTTGAGCTATTTTGTTTGCTATTTTAAAAAACAAAAAACTAGTCAACAACCTCCTGAAATACAGCTATTTAATAATTTTATATAGCTAATATTCATTATAGTTTAGGTTTAAAATTATATAATTTATATAGATAAGGGAGATTAGTGAATTATTTCAAACCAACATTTTAAATTTCAGATATCTATAAATTGCTTTTGTTTCTTTTATTTCTATTCCAAGTATGTTTGTTTATTTTCCAAGTAGTGTAAACATAGGCATTATTTAAAGTGGAAGATTCAAAGGTAGATATTATTATTGTTTTATTTTTGTGGTTGTAGATGGACAGAATGCCTTTATTTTATTCGTTTATTTTTATGTGGTGCTGAGGATTGAACCCAGTGCCTCATTCATGTTAGGCAAGCGCTCTGCCACTGAGCTACAGCCCCAGCCCCTGGATATTATTTTTGAAAGGGTTTTAGGTCACTTGTATGTGTACAACTTTGTTTATAATAAGTAATTTTTTCCCAAATGTCATAATTGGAAAACTTTTTTATGGAAAAGTAATTTTAATTTCAGAATAAAGGCTTTTGCAAGCAGATATTTTCAGTGAAAATATGATGGATCCTTTATCTGAAGAAGGGAATGAGTTCTAAACAGTTTATTTTATAATGCTACCCTTTTTGGATTAATTTTTTTTCTCATAATGTTTGAAAGTATAAATGCATATTGTAGCTAACTAATGTATACATTAAAAGGACAGTAACATGTTCATTTCTATTCTTTGGATTCACTCTAAATCATAATGGGGCATTTGTTTCATAGTAAATAGTGAAAGTATTTTTTTTCTGATTATTCATATTGGAGAGATAAGCTTAATATCTAGAACTTATTTTTCCGATTAATTTCATTTCACATTTAAATAACACCTTAAAAATATTTTCACATGCTATCTGATGTTCAAAGTGTCCTTAACAGCGAGTCATATTTGAAGATGTTCGAGATGCTGAAGATGCTCTTTATAACCTCAATAGAAAGTGGGTATGTGGCCGTCAAATTGAAATACAGTTTGCACAAGGTGATCGCAAAAGTAAGTGTGACTAAACATTAGATCTTGTTTATTCAGCAAAATGAGTTTCAACAATGACAGATTTTTTAATTTAAAATTCTTTCAGAAAATTATACTAGTTGAGTGACTGTTACTATGGTTTTCAAGTAATGAATTGTGTTATAAGCCTTGTTCTTCATATTCTAGCACCAGGCCAAATGAAATCAAAAGAACGTCATCCTTGTTCTCCAAGTGATCATAGGAGATCAAGAAGCCCCAGCCAAAGGAGAACTAGAAGTAGAAGTTCTTCATGGGGAAGAAATAGGAGGCGGTCAGATAGCCTTAAAGAGTGAGTATCAAATACAAGAAGATGGAAAACAAAAGTTTTTTTCTTTTTAAGCAAGCCACTTGAACCAATTTGTTTAATTTATATAAATAATCAACTTTTGTGAAAAAATATATTTTCTTTTCTATTATATATTGTTATTTACCGTGGTGTCTTGGATACCTCAGTGTTTTTTTTCTTTTTTTCATGACAGACTTAAATTTTAACTTTTAAAATAGAAAGACAGCATGTACTGAAAAAAAAAACCAAAAAAATGAAAAATACTTACCTGGCAAACAAGGGGAAGAATTTTAGATAAAAGAAATTTTCCTCGATAAGGCCAAAAATGCAGAATGTTGAGTTCTAAAAAATTAATAAAGACTTAAGAAATACAATGCAACCACTTGTGAAAGGAGGTTTATGAAAACACATGAATAGGCTGGATGTGGTTGTGTATGCCTATAATCCCAGCAACTCAGGAAGCTAAGGCAGGATGGTCACAAGTACAAAGACAGCCTCAGCAACTTATTGAGAACCTGTCTCAAAATAAAAAATAAAAAGGGCTGGGGATGTACCTTGTGGTAGAATGCCCCTGAGTTCAATCCCTAGTACTAGAAAATAAATTAAATTAATATAAACCAATTTACTTACAAAAGATAAATTATTATCAAGAATAAATTCCAAGTATGGCAATATTATAAGATATTAACAAAATAGTAAATTTGGGTGAGAAAGATTTGCAAGTTATCTATTTTGTTAACTAGGAGTTGATTTCTGATAGAATAATAAATTGCAGGGGCTGGGGTTGTGACTCAGTGGTAGCATGCTTGCCTAGCATATGAGAAGCACTGGGTTTGATTCTTAGCACCGCATATAAATAAATAAAGGTCCATTGACAACTAAAAGAAAAAAAATAAATAATAAATTGCAGTGAAATTAATTATATGGTGAAGCTGTTGAAATATAACTGAAAATGTAGTGGCATTCTTAAGTTCTTGAATATTTATCTCATTTATCTTGAGTTTTAATGCTTTAATTTTTTCATGGGAATTTTGGGAATATTAAGGTGAATTCTAAAAGAATGATCAGTGTAGCCAGGAGGGGTGGTGTATGCCTGTAATCCCCGTGACTTGGGAGGTCAAAGCAGGATGACCACAAGTTCAAGGCTAGCCTCTACAGTTTAGCAAGAATAAAAAAGCCTGGGGAAGATGTAGCTCAGTGGTAGAGCACCTCTGAGTTCAATCTGTAGTATTACAAAAGAAAAGAATAAGGATCATCGTTTAAAACAACATCCTGTTCTCTGACTGGATTGGTTGGCCTGGACCACATTTAGTATATTTTTGAAATTGCAAATTAATGCCTTTGTTTTGGCAAATTCTGGGTCACTATCTCTTCAAATATTGCTCTGCCTTATTGAGTAATTCCTCTTGGCTGTGTGACTATGTACCATATATCTTGTGTGCTCTGTTCTGGATTTTTAAAAATTTATTTTCTCTCATTATGTTTTCTTTTTTGTTTGTTTGTTTGGTACTGGAGATTGAAGTCAGGGGTGATAAACTTCTTAGGTATATCCTCAGCCCCTTTTCTTTCTTATTTTGAGACAGGGTATTCTTGTTGCCCAGGCTAGCCTCAAACTTGCAGTTCTCCTGATTTAGCCCCCAAGTCACTGGGTTTACAGAAATGTACAACTGCACCCAGTTCTCAATGTGTTTCAGTAGGAATTTTTCTAATGACCTTTTGGTTTAGTATTTATTGTGTTATATCCAGGTTACTGTTAAGTCTATTTTAGTGACTTTTTAATTTTAGGCATCATATATTCTTAATTCTAAAAGTCCATTTCGGGGCTGGGGATGTGGCTCAAGCGGTAGCGTGCTCACCTGGCATGCGTGCGGCCCGGGTTCGATCCTCAGCACCACATACCAACAAAGATGTTGTGTCCGCCAAAAACTAAAAAATAAATATTAAAA